ACCAAAGAGATCACAATACATGCTGTACATAAGAAGTCACAGTCGGCATACATTAATTTGTTGTTTACGGCATGTTAAGCATGCAGTGACCGTCGTACCACCATTGCACAACGTTAAAAAGCAATAGAGAGTGAGGAAGGGAATTTATAATTACATAGAAGTGTTAATTTCAGGCCTGACGGAAATGCTTGTTAAGGTCAAGTGAGATGATGAGTTTATTGAAAGAAAGACCACTTACGACAAATAAACAAAATAGGCACTGCAACAAAATCGAAAGAAAGAAGAGAAGAAAGAAGAAGGGGGAAAAAAGAACCCAAAGAGTGAGACAGAAAAAGTAAGAACTGTTTCAAAGTGCAAAGCTAACATATTAAATGAAAATAACAGACATATATAACGATATTAAAAAAGTGTCATTTGAATCAATAGGCAACGGGGGATGAGTAAAATGCGGTATTGAGAGAAAAGAAAAGGGAAAGAGAGGGAAAATGTGAGAAAAGGAGGAGAATCCCAAAATGACGAAGCAACTGAGACTTGGAATCTGGAAAACAGGAAAGGGGAGAGGACAGGGAGAGAGATGAAGAAGAAGAGGTGAAAGTGACGGACTATAGTAGTGCTATAAAGCTTGTTTTTCCAACGTATTTCAACACGGTCAACTCTAGGAATAGAGCAGATTTTATGTGAGAAGCCATACATAGTTTTGGGCGCATCACAAAATGTTCTACGGTTATGCAACAAAAACTGTATATGTATTCGTTGCTATTAATTAATAATGTTTTTTTTTATACCACTCTATCAAATTTCTTTGTCACAGTAGTAATACGCTTTGTGATAAAATAAACATTTTACATGGATATGTATTCGACATGTTATTTTTGTTACCAACTTGAATACATTTTGTGACATTGTGTTATGTTGTTGTTAATAAATTCAAATTCAAATTCAAATTCAATTTTTTTTTAAATGTAAGTGAAAGTGCAAATGAAAGGTCCGAATGATGGAGAGCGGTTCTAAACCATTTTTTTTTTTTTGGGGGGGGGGTTGGGGAGGTTTTGGGGAACTCGGGGTCCTTGCATTCATTTTCTACATTATTTTCCCCTGTGCTTTTTTGTTCGGGGGGGGGGGGGCTTGAATAAATTGGAGGCTTGGGCCCCGCCCCTCCCTTGCCCCCCCCCCCCTCCCAATAACCTTGACTTGCCACTTTAAATGATGATTAAACTCAAAATGTTATGGTTCTCTGCCTGCCTCTCCCCATTAATGTTTTCTTTCTTGTTAGTGATTTTGGAAATTGGAGCCCATTTTCAAGTACGATGAGCCATTTATTATTATTATTATTTGTTATTAAAGTCAATTCTGAATATGTTCATATTTCATAATAAAGCATGCATTATGAATTCAAATACCATAATAGGCCTATTTTGTTTGTGTGTGTGTGTGTGTGTGTATGTGTATATGCAGAATCATATAAATATAATCATGGTGCACGGTACAAGTTGAAATAACGGCCCCTGTTTATGAGTTTGACGGAGATTGAATACAGCGACCACAGATTTCAGTTATTGCAGACAAAAGAATATGATTTAGTAATTGAAATTCGGTTAAGAATAATTTTTCCTAACTTGTCACGAAAGAGTGGGGACTTGTTTGACGCGGATTGGTGGCCACGGACAAGACAGTATTCGGCTCGGAAAATTTAAATGGAAAAAAAAAAGTTTAATTATCAATTATTCGATTTCCAGCAGTGGTATAACAAGTCTAGTCCTTTGGTAAGACATTCTACATTTGCCATCCTCAACCCAGTTGTATTTACATGGGTACCTGCGTGCCATGGTAGGAAGCCATTCCATGAACGCTTTCAGTGCCTTTGGTTGTGTCTATATTCTACAGCGCTGCAAGAGCTCGTAAATGCTGTGCTATACACATACTATTATGAACTATATACTATTGTTTTATTATAATAAAACAATAGTATATAGTTCATAATAGTATGTGTATAGCACAGCATTTACGAGCTCTTGCAGCGCTGTAGAATATATACCACATAGTTATTGCGCTTTACAAATGAATATTATTAGTAGTAGTAGTAGTAGTAGTAGTAGTATATGTGTACATACTGTATAGGTACCCCATAGGTACCTGTGATTGATACATGCAAAATATACAAATAATAAATCTTTATACAATTATAATAATTCTGTCCATTTTTCGAAACTTCATATTGGATGCAATGCCTACAATCCCCCTTATCTTTCTCCTCCATCATCAAGAAGGATGTACAATCATTTTTCCATTAGTGAAGAGAGCGATTGCATAACATAAGTACCAATTAAAGGACGAAAAACTACAGAACTAGAATAGTGTGATATGCTGTAAACTGTTTTCCCGCTCCAGCTCCCTCGCAGATCATTATGATTATAATTAACGAAAGGCGAGTAATGCATGTATTGACCCCTTGGCAATACACGACTGACCTGCTGCAATATCAATCAATCTATTAAAAAAAAACAGCATAAATTATGCTTTGAGGTTTCTTACGTGTTCAAACAACATAGATAAAAAGAATGAACAATGGAAATATGGGGGGGATTATGAATGGACGTGTTCCAGAATAGCGCTTTTTCTCATGGTTTGAGAGGGGAGGGGAGGATCGAGGCTGATAAGAATCAAATATTGCATGTCATTATCTAGGCCTACTCTACTATCAATAGACAGGCTATATAGTTATGTGTGAACATTGATTTAAAATATCTTTAAAACACTATAATGGAAAGCATTTCCCTCAACTTCAAATCCATTAAGTACTTGTGTTTTCCATGCTTTGTGTAAATATTGCCAATTGTTTTACAGTTGAGATGTTTTTAACGTAATATATAATAGGGCATATTCGGTGTTTGTGTGTGTATGAGAAAGAGAGAGAGAGAGAAAGGGGAGAGAGAGAGGAGAGAGAGAGAGAGAGAGAGAGAGAGAGAAAGAGAGAGAGAGAATATGTGGCTTAACTGGGATGTGGTGTCATGGGGGGGGGGGTCGGGCGACAAGCAGAGCAAGCAAACGGGTGGGAGAGAGAGGGGATGGGAGGGGTGGGAGGGGTATCCCCTTCGACGGTGAGAGCTTTTTGCATTTTGATGTTTGCAATCTTGCAATTTGGTGCATTCTTATCGATTTGAAAAGGTCTTTAAAATTTAGAAAAGGAAGAAGTTTTGCTATTTCAGAATATATGAGCTGCAGATATTTCAACTCAACAGAAACATTCGTATGTCTAACGAATGATGTGTAAACTGAGAACACTTCTGATTGACTTTTGTATAATAATGATTCTAAATAATGGCCCGGGGATATTGGCTGTCCATACAGTAACATACTAAAATACAAGTACAACAACCACAACCACCACTGTCAACAAGAACAACAACATTTTTCATAATTATTTTAGTTAGGGGGCAAACTGCGTCCCTTGTCTCCCCCTTCATATACGCTAGTGGATAGAACAACCAAATAACGCGTTCATATCAAAACTATGATCTGACATGCTCTGTGAAAATCTGAAAGATTTTTTTAACAATTCAGATGTTTTCAAGATATTCAATGAGAGAGAGGGACAGAGAGAGAGAGAGAGAGAGAGAGAGAGAGAGAGAGAGAGAGAGAGAGAGAGAGAGAGAGAGAGAGAAGGGGTGGGTGGTCCCCTACAAAAAATTATATCAGAAATATCGGAAATCTGACAAGTTAGGATTCTAGTATTCTTAGGGTTGCATAATTATTTTACCACGCTCCATATAGACTATATTCAATCCCTACCCGCCACACCAAGAAAGGAGAAAGGAAAAGAGGCGCTTATCAGAAGGGGAAAAGGACACTTCTCTTATAGGAAAAGTAAAGGAGAACATGTTTAAAGTTTTAAAAAGGCAATTATCTGAGGTAAAAAGAGGCACTTCTTGTGCCTGCAAAGATCAAGGCACTTATTGCAAAGGAAAAGAGGCATACTTCAGATTTAATAAGGGCATTTATCAGAGGTGCAGGCACGAAGCCACGGGGGGGGGGGGGGGGTGGGGGCACGTCCCCCCCCCCTCAAAAAAAAATCCAAGATCGGTTGAACTTTTTTAGACCCCTCCCCAGGACGTCGATCGATTACATGCCCCCCCCCAAAAAAAGCAAAAAAACATCAAACTCTGGCTACGGTGAAATGGGATAATTTATGAGAAGGGGAAGAGCCTCTTATTAAAAGGGAAATGGGGTAATAATTGAAAGGAAAAGGGACACGTATCAAACTAAAACGGACGCTTATTAGTAGGGGAAAAGCACTTTTTACAAAGAAAAGGAGCACATGTCAAAGAAAAAAATGAACAATTATCAGAGTTGAAAATGGGCACTTCTCGCTTCTGAAAAGGGGCACTCACCAGAAATGAAAAGGGGAACTTATTACGAAGGAAAAGGGCATTTGTTAAGTAAAAGGGCATCTCCAAGAATTAAACATGGGCAATTATCATTGGTGAAGGGGGCATTTATCAGATGTGGAACGGGCACTTGTTAGAAATAAAAAGGGGCACTTATCTGAAGTAAAAGGGGGCACTTTTCCTATGTAAAAAGGGGCACTATAGGGAAACTTGAAAAAACGGGGGCGGGGGCACTGTGACCACTGCCCCCCCCCCCCCCCCATCTTAAATCTCCAAGATTTAAACATGGGCAATTATCATTGGTGAAGGGGGCATTTATCAGATGTGGAACGGGCACTTGTTAGAAATAAAAAGGGGCACTTATCTGAAGTAAAAGGGGGCACTTTCCCTATGTAAAAAGGGGCACTATAGGGAAACTTGAAAAAACGGGGGCGGGGGCACTGTGACCACTGCCCCCCCCCCCCCCCCCCCCCTCCGAGTCGGCCGCTTCTGGACAGAGTGTACACATTGGTAATGCATCTGTATTTTAGTGGTGATGGAGATGTTGACTCAGTGACAGAGAATGTGGAATATCTATACTCAGTGCAGTGTTTTGTTAGAGCGCCCTCTTGTGATCAATTGTAAAGGCTAAATATTTTGATAAGCCGATATCAGAGAAGTACAAGTAGTCGAAATGCCGGTGAGATTTTGTTAAATTGCGAAATGTGTCTTTTATTTAAGACAATCTTAATTCACTTTGTACGTTATTAAGGCATCACTTTTTGTTTATGATATACTAATTTAGTAAATATTGTACCAATAGGGTCCAGATGATTAATCTAGACGACGAGTAGTTTTCGGAGGAATTGGGGCCATCACCATGATCACAGGCAAACTGGCCGCCAGGCCCTGGCCGATGCGATGTACAGAGGTAGCCGCTGGTAGCCGGTACCGGCAGCTGGATCGAATGAAAGGATTTACACTTTTCATTCAGTTTAATTAAAAAATAGACTCAAGTCAGTGTAGATATATTGTGGTTTTGGAAACCACTAATTCGTCTGCATGCACTTGTTTGTAGAGTCTATTGCATGGGAAAATGTAGACCGAAAGCTTCAGTCTCTATACCGTCGGTTGTTCCACTGAGACTACGTCTGGCTCCACTAGACCTCCGGTTATAGAGACTGAACGATCGCCTATGCCAGCCTATGTTGAAGATATCACGGCTAGATTTTAGCCGTTAGGCCCCTCCCACAAACATGACAAACTTGCCACGGCCGTATTGTTATGCCCCCAAAATCCCCCAAAATCCCCCAAAATGTCATTTTACCTTGTGCATATCCAATTTTACATTAGGCCTAGGCTATAATACATCGGTTCCACTTACTAACTTGATTGAAATAATCCGTTTAATGGTCCCTTTTAAGGAAATTATGATTATGAAGGAAAAACTGTGATAACGCCATTACGAACGTGTAGATGGCGCACAGTTTTTCCTTCATAATCATTTTGCCTTCGGCGTAGACTAGAAGGGATGAGATTGACGGCAGCGAGAGTTTAACACGGCTTGCAAGATTTTCAACATGGATGTCGATTTTGACCTATAATTTCCTTAAAAGGGACCATTAAACGGATTATTTCAATCAAGTTAGTAAGTGGAACCGATGTATTGTAGCCTAGGCCTAATGTAAAATTGGATATGCACGAGGTAAAATGACATTTTGGGGGATTTTGGGGGCATAACAATACGGCCGTGGCAAGTTTGTCATGTTTGTAGGAGGGCCTAACGGCTAAAATCTAGCCGTGATATCTTCAACATAGGCTGGCATAGGCGATCGTTCTGTCTCTATAACCGGAGGTCTAGTGGAGCCAGACGTAGTCTCAGTGGAACAACCGACGGTATAGAGACTGAAGCTTTCGGTCTAGGGAAAATGAGACCATATTATGTGTGTGACACAATGAAATGGCAATTCATGATATTGAGTGAAAGGTGGTATTATAATACAAATAATACACAGCACGCAGCTAAGTGAGGGTATTAGAAGGCGCTAGTTCGGAATTGTATCCAGACTTTGACCCGTAACTCCTGCGTGGAGATACCCTACTAAAACATACCAAAATTCGCCTAAATCATCAACAATTGTTCAAATAATGGTCATGCTTGGTACTTACTTGGTTGGGTAATCCCTTTGGCAGCTCACTCAGAAAGCTATACTGGGATGGTAGATGAGGCGAGTAACTACAAGGAGTGTCATGAATTGCAGGTATGGTGTGTGGACAAAGCACTCGTCATGATTTAAAAGTCATTGGTTTACCTGTTTTGTGTCAATTTTCTTCTCTTTAGAGTATTTTTCCTAAAAGCAAAGACTTATAATAATATACACTTTCTCACAGGATTCACAGCATACTGCTGCACAATACAATTGCATACCATATTGACGGTGGGGTGCGTGTGTGTAAGTTAGCGACTGTAATCTTAGTTTACGGTCGCTAACTTAACACACTTAATGGAGGCCTTTTTACTATGTATTCTAGCAAGATAGTAAAGCTCATGGTATTTATTTAAGAGCTTTCAGTCTTGCCATTATTTCAAACACATTTTTCCATAACAGAAAAAGAAAAAGAAAAAAGGGTCAACAGTTAGAAACTTAGAATGCAGACTTTACTACATCTACAACTAAAATCCATGGTTGATCATTTATTGACTTTATTTTGAATGATTTACCATTCATCAATCTTGAGAGGTCTAGCTTAACTTTTGTTAAAGTAGATTCTATGACATAATTGGCCTTAGTGATGGAACTAGGCAGTGCTCAAAGTTAAATGGTAATGGACCATAGCCCTTCAGTGGACAATGCTTTTGCAATACCGTTCAAATACCACAATTGGCCTCATTTTTCATATACCGGGTATTTTATATCATGATATAGACAAATGACAGAAAAGTAATTTTCAAAAGTATTAACCCCCAAACCATCTTTTTCAACCTAGGGTGGCAGCAGTGGTAATGACAATGTGCGAGTGGTGGTGCGATGTCGTCCTCTCAACTCCAAGGAGACGGGCCAAGGGTTCAAGTCTGTGGTCAAAATGGATGAGATGAGGGGTACCGTACAGGTCACAAACCCCAACGCACCCAGCGGGGAGCCTCCAAAGTCGTTCACCTTTGACACAGTGTTTGCGCCCGGTGCCAAGCAGACTGATGTCTACAACCAGACGGCGAGACCCATCGTAGATGCTATCATTGAGGGGTACAATGGTAGGCATCTTCCTTGCTCAACATTCGTAGGAGATTATCTTGCTTAGAAATTTAATTTATTTTATAAAACTTTTAATTCAAACACTCTTTTGGTATACTGACAACAGTGTTTGAGTATGATACAAGTAAACTATAAACTAGCAAAAACATAATCCTCTCTTCATTTTGGTATCAATATCTATTTGTGCTTTTAAAAATATTAAGACACAACAGCTATACAGGTATGCAAAATTTAAGTTACCAAATAAACAAACTATTACAATTTGTTTGTTTTTCCCCTTTTCCTCACGTGTTTGAAAATGACTATAATTTTCTTCTTTTCTTGAATACAGGGACTATATTTGCCTACGGTCAGACAGGTACAGGAAAGACATTCACCATGGAAGGAGTACGATCTCAACCAGAACTCAGGGGCATCATTCCCAACTCATTCGCTCACATTTTTGGACACATAGCTAAAGAGCAGGAAAATGTCAGGTAGGGAGAACAAGATGCGCTTTAAAAGTTCTACTGTTTTGTTTCTACTGAAGAAGTGAAGTGAGTCCTACAGAATTGCTGTATAGGCCGGTAAAGTTTGAAAATTGTGAATTTACATGTGGAAATGAGCTGGCAATGCACATATTAATTTTAACAAGTCTTTGTTAATGATTGCAAAAAGTGCAATTTGCGAAAGCGTCAATGAACCTGTTGTCTGCAAAAACCTTGACTTAATTAGTATTTATTTATTTTAAGATGATCCCTTCTGTCTTGAGGGTCATATAGTGTTGATATATATGTATTGTATAAACAAGTGTCAGTATCTATAAGGATCAAGCATATGCAATTGGGAACAGTGGCATGCTTGACTTCAACTCTAATTCTGTGACCCTCTCGCATAGAGAGAAATTGAATAAAGGTTGCTTGTGCTGTGTAGAAAATGGAAAGACACATTTCTAAGGCACCATAACATTTCTCTTTTTTCATCCTTTCACAGGTTCCTAGTTAGGGTGTCATATTTGGAGATCTACAATGAAGAAGTGAAGGATTTATTAGGCAAAGACCAGCAGCATAGATTAGAGGTAAGAGAAATTTCACCCCTAATACCACAAGCAGGATAGTCAAAGGGTGTAGTCATACTGGCAGAAAATTCCAAGAAATGTTATCCCTGTAGCTGAAGAAGCATGTCCACAAATTTGTGAAAACTATGCAAAACTTTGCAAATATGTTCCCATTAAATCCTGATAAATGTGATTAGTGACATTTTGATTCCCATCAGTTTTGCCAGTAAACTTGTATGGCCGGTCTTCAGAAAGTTTCTTGTATGACTGGGAACACTTATGCAACGTGTACACTGTGCCAATTAATGAGCATGTGCAAATTAGCTTTAACACTGAAACAAAGTGAATAATTTATACATTTAAAAGGAGAAATTTCAGAAAGATATATATTTTGTCGTACTTTGCAAATATTAAACACAGCATCTCTGAATCTGCAAGTGTTTCTAAAAACAGTGCCAATGTTTACATCGAGTAAAAAACCTACACATTTCTCTCCAAATATTTCAAACATAAAACCTAATTTTCCATTTTTCTGAGCATCTTGATGTCCTTGTGTATACTCTGTATTGTAAATGATTAGTTACCAATAATATAACAAATTTGGTTTTGTACTTCTTCGATCAGGTCAAAGAGCGGCCGGATGTTGGTGTCTATGTCAAAGACCTTTCTGCATTCGTTGTCAATAACGCAGATGATATGGACAGGATAATGACTCTAGGAAACAAAAACAGTAAGTATCATCATCATCAATCAATTAACTTAGCCGCCCCTGATAGGGCAAAACAGATAAAGCTGATGGAGATATGCAAATGCTCTAATACACCAGGAAGAGGTACCTTAGGTTTTTAAGGTACATAAATTGTGACTCTCCTACTCTGTTTGTTTCCAATAACATTCTTTCAGAGGGACTGAATGTTTTTCCCCTGTAACTTAGCTCTTATCTATCAGGGGAAGGGTTAGTACAGAGACATCAGTCTGTAGATCTACAATAGAGAAAAATACAATATTCTTGAAATGTCAGATAGATGTTGCCAATATGTTATCGTCTTTTTATAGCCAGAAGGGAGTTAACTCTCTGTAAAATGTCATGAATTAGTGACCGTCTGGCTCCTAAGTGAGTGATTCTCACGCCCCCTTTAGAAAATTATCTTCAAATAAATTGATCCTAATTTATTGTTTTGCAATTGATTGAAGAATATATTGTCCCTATGCTACATCCTGTGTGATGATAAAACCTTTCGATTTTGTGTCTGCAGTAAAATGTTAAGTCAACACTCGCCTGTTTCAGTGTTAGAACCATCTACTGTAAAGTTTTTAATACCTTGACTACTGAATTCCCATATTGGTTACAATAATTTGTTCTTCTTCATTGTGCCACAGCTCTCCTGTGATCTCTACCCATAGATTTGTTCCTACTCGGTACTTTTGCAATTTCGGTAAAATAAATTACTTTCCATTTTTCACCTGAATAGGATCTGTGGGGGCGACAAACATGAATGAATCAAGTTCTCGTTCCCATGCCATTTTCACCATTACGTTGGAAAGGAGTGACATGGGTCTGGATAAAGAACAGCATGTCAGGGTCGGAAAGCTACACATGGTGGATCTTGCAGTAAGTGGGCTACTTCTAAAAGCACATTTTACAGAGATTATTTCAATGCTGAAATGCATATATTTGTGGGGTTGAGGACAATTTAACTCACTCTACTTCAAATTGCTATACAGTTTTCCTGCTGGTGACTGTTTATTGAAAATTAAATTGGTAACCTAGATAAGGGTTATTTTGGAGGTTGAGCTTGTCTTTGCTGTGTAAGTGTTTGAAGTGTCTTGTGAGGATCAAAGTAGTTAGTGATATATTTTGTTTTCCCTGAATACATGAATATATCTAGCCTTTGATTTTGAAGTTTCTTTTTAACTCCTCATTATCCATCCAGCATGAATCCTGACTAGTTTTGTCAGTCGTAATAGTTCTGAGCCAAATGTTCTCTAGGAAAGAGACTTGAAACAAAATGTGGGACATTTGCGTAAGATTTGAGTCTTTAAGACACTAACAATTTTTCTAGTTTTAAAACACCATATGGATGTTAGGAAGACCTGTATTATGTATTCATTCAAAAAAGCAATCTCTGATTCTGACATTCCCCAAACTGTATACAATCCTCTGTAATATATTCTCCTTTAATTCATCATCCTGCAGGGTTCTGAGAGACAGACCAAGACCGGTGCGACTGGACAACGTCTCAAGGAGGCCACCAAGATCAACCTGTCCCTGTCCACCCTGGGTAATGTCATCTCATCCCTGGTGGATGGTAAGAGCACTCACATCCCCTACAGAAACTCCAAGCTCACCAGGCTCCTGCAGGACTCCCTCGGAGGCAACGCAAAGACAGTCATGGTAAGATGACACCATACACCTGGGGCCCGTTTCACAAAAATCCTAAGTTGAACTTATCTCAAAGTTGGACTTAAAAGTTTTGGAAAGCCGTTAGCATTCATGAAAATATTTTGTAAAATTTGTTATAAAAGGCACAAAATGTTGATTCAAATCATTCATATTTTCATTTTTCAAGGAGATTTCATGTTCTTCATGTGGAATTTATAAAAAGTCTAAAATACTTGAATTTTCACTGTTGAATATATTTTATTTTAAGGCTACAAATGGCTCTCCATAATATTTAAGTCCAACTTAGAGTTGAGTTCGACTTCGGATCTTTGTGAAACACCCCCCAGAGACAAAAATGGACGAATGGATAAAAGAGCAGATGAGATGGTGCCTAGGGGATTTTCTTTTTTCTGAGATGCTTATATAGCCAAGATACTGTCAGCCGAGAGCTTGTCAACTCAATTTTGCATTGCCTCCTCATTTCATCCAAACCTTTGGCACAGCCTCGACAAGTTCAAATTTATTTGAACTTTTGCAGTGACCCAAATTCCATTTGATTTCTTTACCTTTAAATGTATTGATCGGTGACCTGATGATGTTTGTATAATTTGTATTTCTTTCTTTTTTACTATCTTTTATATACATATATGTTTTTTATTGAATGGAATGAATAAATCTTGAATCTTGAAAACCTTTCATTATGTAAAATACAAAAAACATCAAATTTATGAGGGGTATGAATAATTCAGTTGTCAAATGTTTATCTTTTTCTGCCCAGTGTGCCAACATTGGACCAGCAGAGTATAACTACGATGAGACAATTAGCACACTGAGGTATGCCAACCGAGCCAAGAACATCAAGAACAAGGCCAAGATCAATGAAGACCCCAAGGATGCACTCTTGAGAGAGTTCCAGAAAGAAATTGAAGAATTAAAGAAACAGATCTCAGAATGTGAGTAGTGAGGTTGAATTGTATAATAATAATAATATTCTGCTTTTATATAACAATGTCTCTAAGCAGCAGCTCACAATGCTAAGCAAACTACATTAACTTTCGCATCCTACCGGGTACCCATTTAGCATTTGGGTGGAGAGTGGCAAATATAGATTAAGGTCTTGCCAAAGGATGTTAGTGTCCGGCTGGGATTTGAAGCCCGTACCTTGTGATCTGTAGTTGGATAGCTTATCCACTAGACCACAACACCTCTGCATGTCATTTTCTCATGCATGAACTAGGTTCGATTCATTTGGTATTGTTTTGTTATGAAATGATGTAACTTAAGATAATCTTGCCATTTTTAAAAGCTATATGTAACATCCCCTAATAATGTAATTTACTGTGGATGGTGATAGAGAACAGTAAATCTGATCAGTAAATACACTTTTGCTCAAATTTGAAGGAGGTAGGCAATTTTATTCCAATGTATGTTGCATGTTTTCGGTGTTAGGTATGTGATTTTTTTTTCAATTTAAAAGGAGGTTCACACACAGTTTTAACAGCAATTACCTCCACATTTCCTGTTCATCCCAAAATTGTTATTTAGCACTAAAAACAATTTCATGGTTCGTGATAAAAGAAGAGGTGTGATAGTAAATGAATAGTGAATCACACGTGACTGTGTTCTATCATTTGATTAAGATCTAAGAGAAACTTATATATATATATATTATTATATTATGTATATTTGTGATAATTTTTCAGCTGGAGAAGGTCTAGACGATGACGAGGAGAGTGGCTCAGAGGAGAGCGGAGATGAAGAAGCGGGAGAAGGAGGGGTAAAGAAGAAAAGAAAGGGCAAAAAGGGTGAGTAAAGGTTTTCAGCTTTTTATGCCTCCGTTACGAAGTAGCCGGAGGCATTATGTTTTCGGGTTGTCCGTCCGTCCGTCCGTCCGTCCGTCCGTCCGTACGTCTGTACGTACGTCTGTACGTACGTCCCGTTCTCGTGATCACGTTATCTGAAGAACGGATCAATGGATTCCTACCAAACTTTGGTCATATATGTATCTAGCAAAGTCGATGAACTGATTAGATTTTGGGGTCACGAGGTCAAAGGTCAAAGGTCACAGGGCTCATTATGTATGCAAAAACAGCTCGTGATCGCGTTATCTGAAGAACCGATGGATGGATTCCTGCCAAACTTAGGTCATGTATGTATCTTGTAGAGTCGATGAACTGATTAGATTTTGGGGTCACGAGGTCAAAGGTCAAAGGTCACAGGGCTCATTATGTATGCAAAACGGCTCGTGATCGCGTTATCTGAAGAACCGATAGATGGATTCCTGCCAAACTTTGGTCATGTATGTATCTTGCAGAGCCAATGAACTGATTAGATTTTGGGGTCACGAGGTCAAAGGTCAAAGGTCACAGGGCTCATTATGTATGCAAAAACAGCTTGTGATCGCGTTATCTCAAGAACCGATTGATGGATTCCTGCCAAACTTAGGTCATGTATGTTACTTGCAGAGCCGATGAACTTATTAGATTTTGGGTAACGAGGTCAAAGGTCAAAGGTCACAGCGCCCATTATGTATGCAAAAACAGCTTGTGATCGCGTTATCATTAGAACAGATTGATGGATTCCTGCCAAACTTAGATCATTTATGTATCTTGCAGAGCCAATGAACTGTGTAGATTCTTGGTTCATAAGGTCCAAGGTCATGGGCTCATTATGTATGCAAAAATAGCTTGTGAACGCATTCTCATTAGAACTGACAGATGGATTACTATTTAACTCTGGATATCTTGCAGAGCCAATGAGCTGAGTAGATATTAGGATCATGAGGTCAAAGTTCAAAGGGTCATATATGTATATGAGAAATTGTTTGTAATCACGATATTCTGAGAACCTGTTAATGGATTACAATTGAACTTGAATTTGAAAAATTTCTTCTGTTTTGGTTTGTAAAATTGCTCTATGACGGAGGCATCATTTTCGACTGCGCGCAGTCGAATTCCATCTAGTTTATGAACTTGGCTGATTTCTGTATTGTGTTATGATAATCTCTAAGGAAAGAGTACCTATCTTTAAAAAACTCTGGTACTTTGAACTGGTGCTTTATTTTTTGCATAAGTTCGGGTGGATGCCACATCTTGAAATCTGTGTAAATTTTGCACTCTTGAGATCCTCATATCATCCCTATTTTCACGAAGTGACGGTAGTGAGGAAAATCGTAACGCAAAGTGAATGCAATTTTTTTTCACTACCGTCACTTTGTGAAAACAGCAACGATATATGATGCAATCCCAAATTCACCTTCACGAGGCGTTATCATCATAGGAAACATTGCACCTTGAAATCATCAATCTTTACGACAAAAGATGTTAATTTCAAGAATTCTGCATTTTACAGTGTTCACATTTATCTACAAATTGCATTTCATCTATCCATTGTATAAATATGTAACATTACTTTTCTGGCTGGCAGACAAAATGTTACATTTCATCCACGTATTTTATTATTCTATTACAAAAATTGTTGATTATTTATTATTGATTATTTACTGTTTTCTTTGCCGGTAATTTTTCATTTGTCAAGGTAAGAGAAAGTTATCTCCTGAGATCATGGCCGCCATGCAGAAGAAGATCGATGAAGAGAAGAAAGCGCTGGAAGAAAAGAAAGATATGGTAGAGGAAGATCGGAACACGGTACACAGGGAGCTTCAAAGAAGAGAGAGTGAACTTCACAAGGCACAGTGAGTCAATGAATGAATTATGTAGAGGCGCCGTGGTCTAGTGGATACGTCACCGGACTGTGGATCACATAGTTTGTGGTTCAAGTCCTGCCACAGCACTAATGCCCTTTAGCAAGACATTAATCTACATTTGCCACTCTCCACCCAGGTGAAGTAAATGGGTAGCCGATAGGAAGAAATTTCTTGAATGCTTGAGCAGCTTATCATGGTGGCTCAGCTACAGCCGGGTAATAATGTGATACTTGTATCTTGAATTCACATAACCCCATTTCTAATTACCTTGCTCAATCCACAAAGCCATACCTCCTCAAAATAACAGACACGCTCATTACTTGAACTTCAAAAATCTTTTGTTAGCTATGTATCGAAACCCCAAACTACCACATTCTTAGGAGTATATGGTACATGTATATATAAAACAGTTGACTGCGGCAGTCCAGTGTGTGTTTCATTAGTCGACCAATGCCAGAATGAGTTAATCGATATCGTCCCCTCAACCACCCTTCCTATTCCCCACCCCAAGGATGACCAGTAGATCTTGAACGAGAAGCCCGAACTATCACATTCTTAGGAGTATATGGTACACGATGTGTGCATAACAACAGTTGATTTTGGCTGTCCAGTATGTGTTTCATTAGTGGACCAAAGCCAGAAAGAGTTAATCGTTATCATCCCCATATATTATTTTGTCATGATTGTGTAAAATTTGCAATGTTTTGTTTGTTACATATTTTCAAACTGCAAAAGAAAAAGAAAATCAAACAGAAAGAAATAAATCAAATCCCTTCTACTACCCCTCCAACTTACTCCCCACCCCAGGGATGACCAGAAGATCTTGAACGAGAAGCTCAACGCCATCCAAAAGAAGCTTATCGTGGGCGGGGTGGATCTCCTGGCCAAGTCGGAGGAGCAGGAGCAGCTCCTGGAGCAGTCTGCCCTGGAGATGAAGGAGCGCATGGCCAAGCAGGAGTCCATGAGGAAGATGATGGAGGAGAGGGAGCAGGAGAGGATGGATATCGAGGAGAAGTACAGCAGTCTCCAGGATGAGGCCCACGGTAAGACCAAGAAACTCAAGAAGGTCTGGACCATGCTCATGCAGGCCAAGTCAGAGGTGAGATCAGATACGACATTAGGCAACACAGTTTGATTGTAAAGTGCTTGTTCCATTAAAGGGAGCATAGCCTGACGAGACTGTGTCTTTCCTGTGGCCTGACTCGGGGCAAATCGGTTATACGTCTACAGACAACGCGACCGCAGCAATCACGTGCATGCAACATACACGGTAGTCAGCAATTTAATCTCTACATAGTGTTTGTGAAGGCAGACCGAAGCGTGAGAAGAACTTCGGTCTGCCTTCACAAACACTATGTAGAGATTAAATTGCTGACTACCGTTAAACAAGTCCAGTGGTTTACGTGCAGTCGTCTAAAAGAAGGGGATTACCAGTATTTGCCAAGCTACACTCCCTTTAAACATAATAGATATTTCCTTGCTTCATATGGATGATCAAATGCTAAAAGATGTTTGATTTCTCTTTAATACACCTTTAAGCAACAAGATGACTAATCAATACTTCAAATTAATATGACTTTGCTGAGTTTCTTCATCTTGTTTCTTTGTAAACTTGGGGTTAGAATGTGGTTGTATAATGCAAAAGTCAATGTCCCATGTTAATTTTGACTTCTCTACTGCTACTTTATGACTTAATAAAGAAATATAATCCACATGTGTGGTAATTAAAGAGCTCTGCTTTACAAGAAATTCATTTTCACCATTTTGAATTATTCTATAACCTGACTAGGTGGCTGACATGCAGGCAGAACACCAGAGAGAGATGGAAGCATTGCTGGAGAATGTGAGAGAGCTGAGCCGAGAGCTCCGGCTATCCATGCTCATCATTGATAGCTTCATACCACAGGAGTTCCAGGAGATGATAGAGCAGTATGTACACTGGAATGAAGACATAGGGGAATGGCAACTGGTAAGTTGAACAAGGAAGTGACTTTTAAGCCAGGGAAGCTTAAATGGTTATTGCTTTAGTGTATTTTAAGAGAAAATTGGAATAAGGAATTATAACATGCCAAAAGACATGTATATCTTAAGAGACTTCGTAACATTGTTCAGATGAGAGAAAATGGTGCTAAGGTAGTGACTTCAATGCTAGATGTACAATTAAAGATCATCTGAAAGTTTGAGTGAAAACAGACCATTAATACGATGAAAATTGGGAAAAACTGATCTGATCGATTACAGAATTCTCCCAACTATATTATTATATCTTAATTGAATTTTAGGTGAACAAAAATCGTCACAAAGCAATGAATTGGCTCTATAAACCATTCCAAATATTACAGTATTGATAGCATTTTTTTTATCTTTGCCCTTTTTCTAGAAATGTGTTGCATACACCGGGAACAACATGCGCAAGCAGACACCAGTAGCAGACAAGGACAAGAGCCTGGCCTACGGTGAGGCAGATCTATCAAACGTCTTCCTGACCTACAACCTAGAAGGGGGAGGTATGAAGTACAAGCCATCGCAGGGTAAATCAGGAAGACCAAAGACATCATCAGGGAGACCAAAGACTGGAAAAAAGTAAGTGAAGATTATAAGCAACTTCAGAGGTATTATCTGTGCATGAGCAGATAAAGGACATTTGTACATAAGGCCTAAAAAAAAAAATTGATGACTTGGCGTAACGGGTCACTGAAAATTAGGGTAGGTAGGGCGATTTTTTTGTTTTTGTTTTTTTTGTTTTTTTGTTGTTGTTGTTGCTTATATTTGCATACATGAAATTAGCCATTCATACACATACATACATACAGTGGCGTAGATAGGTCCTCAGACCTTGGGGATGATCTGATGAGAGGGGTAGACCACAATATGTTCAAATAACTCCACGCACACACACACACATATATGGACACACACATATATGGACACACACACTGTGTGAGCAAAGTGAGCAAGAAATTGTTGAAATCTTGATCACCTTGGGACCTGGGGGATGCATACATACACCTGCCCCCCCCCTGCATACATACATGTACATGTACATACACCCTCATGCACATAAAATGCAAACATACGAACGCATTAATAGGTTTCCAACAGACCCCAGCCTGAGATATCTCAGACACTGTCTTCAACAGGATAAACAGGTGAATATGTAGGTTTAGAAGGGGCTGTTCACAAATATTAGTATTTTCACAATGTATTGACTGGCATTTTTATAACTTGCCTAGAGATTAACATGTTAACATATTAACATGTATCCAAAATCTTGAAGAATGAGGGTTGAAAAGAGTAGCCAATTACAACTTGTGAAAATATTTACAATTGTGAATGGCTCTGTAATAACAAACAGTTAAAAAATGTCTCCAATATTTCAGAATCCTTTATCAAAAAAAAAAAAAAAAAAGCGTAGGGTCGGCGATAAAAATAGGGTCGGGCGGGTTACGCCAAGTCATCAATTTTTTTTTTTAGGCCTAACTGTAAAAACCATTGAGACGACTGCTGGATAGGTGTTCATGAAAATTATGCAATCGTTATTCCTTCATGCTTTATGCACAGGTGGAAATAATCTTTTCAAGAGGGCAAACAAAATGTATTCATGGAGCACCTCCTTTTTGCAGTGATTATTATAAAATGCACAAAGTGGGATGTCTCCATGTGTAAGAGATCTGTGGTTATATGAGTGTCATTTGTACAAGTGCTTTCTCCAAAGTGGCTTATTGGTTGATGTTTATGGGGAAACTCTCGATAAACATATGAGAATAATGATGTGGAGTTAACACTTGATTGGGGATCAAAAGCCAGGTCATGGGTCCATGCTCCGGAACAGCACTAATGTCCTTTGGCAAGAATTTGGGATACATGTCCCATTGTCCACTCAGGTGTAGCTTCAGCTGGGGTAATATTGATAGATATGAGCGCTAAACATGAAGTGCATTTTATAATGAATATCATAGAGTATTCTTTAAATGAAAATCTTAAATCTTACAAATTAAAATTTAACTGAGTTTGTGTAAATTGCACAATTACTATGTTTCCTGTTATTGTTTTTTTCTCTGTCATATTCCTTTATCTATTTTCCCCGCTTTTTTGTAGTTTCTTCATTTTTCTTCTATATTTATACTCATCAATGATTACCATGCATTGTTTTTTCAGGAAACAAGCATCTATGGCAAGCTCTATTGATGCATTATTACAATAAAAGGTAAGCTCTCAAAATCTAATTTGTATATATTTTCAAATTATTCATACACCTTCAGGCATTTGTTAGTGTATATAATTCCATAGAATTGTTTGTTCTTCTAAATCGCAATTAAATTTAACAAAAGCTTGCTGCTATATGTTTTGAAATTAGTTTTCGGATGCAAGAAAGCAAATTTATTTTGTCCTCCAAAATGTAGTGATGTACTTGTAATTCAACTTAATTTTTTGGGATATGCACAATCATATGTCAGACTGTTTGTCTTAGGTACTGACATTTAAACAAAAATGTTCATCATGGTTGATCTTGGAATCTGATACATCATAGTCATGACAATATCTGCCAGGAAACTTCAAATCAGATATTGCATTAACAGTTTGTGTTTATTTGTTGGCTTTATTTTATTTTTTTCTCACCGTTTAGTTCTCCTGAGCATCCTGATATTCACAAGCCTCTGGTACACATATTATCGTCGATAGAGGGCTGTTATCATAATTCAAACTGAGAATCATCCACGTCTGCATCAACCCTCCCCATTTTATGGTTTACAGTTGAATCTCTGCATATCAATTCATCAATTAAACTCTGCTTCTGATAATAACCTTTGGCGCACTAATTAACGTTTCATGTATTTTGATTTTTCTCTTAATAAAAGAATTATTGGAAATTCTTACTTGATTACACTGTAATGAACAGTGAAAAAAAATCCCTGACTGGGCAAATATTCCCAACCTTTTTGGGCCCATTTATAGCTTTCAAGATAGCTTTCAAGACTCTTTGAAAACTATAGTCTTAGCTTTGTAAAGGAATTGGTTATTGTGACCTTGGCAATCTTCGGCAAACTCCATGTTTTCCATATAAGCTAATTTAAATACATTCCATATTATATGTAGTACTACTGTAGAGTAAACGAACACCAGCTGATAATGTTGAATTGTTCTTTACTTTTAAGAATATTTAAAAGATATGATATGAAACCATTTTGTTAATGTCTGTGATCCATTTCACTCTTGATATATTTTATTGGCTGATATATTAATGATGATTTGTATCATTAAAATCCTGGGCCACATTGCATAAAACTTACTATTGATGGTATGTTTGCCATAAATAGTAACTTCCATGGAAACCTTGATGTGATTGAATGTTGAGTGATGTTGCCATGGTAGTTAATATTGATCACAAAGTTACCATCAATGGTAAGTTTTATGCAACGGGGCACAGATCAGATGGACTCCCTAAATGACCGTAAGTATTGTCAGCTAGGAACCAAAAATGGTATTGACTCCATGTTAAAAGAAGATGAGTTAATGTTCTTCTGGCTCTCAATAGACATGATCAAAGAATCTGAAAATAGTACATGAATTGTAGGATGTTGACAGCTGTAAGGGCGTTAAATGCATCTCGGCTCGACAACTGATGTGCTGTACAATGTAAACCAGTGGACCTACAGTTTCCAGATCCTCACTGGCTGACTTTGTAATTGAGGATAAAAAACCAAAGGGCATTAGGGCATCAATTTGAACCTAGGACCTTGTAGTTACATGACCAGGGTATAACCTCTGAACCATCATGCTTTTAGAATCTCTGGAGGTATGTAATGTCGGGACAAAGTCTCAAGGAGAGGTTTCAGGATGTGTTTGTAAGCTCTGATCATTTCCTTTTAAAAAAATCCAAACAATGATTTATGCAATCTTTTTCTGTTTCCTATCAGTACAAGCCATGTTATTTGAAATAGAAATGCAAACGATATATCACTCATATTGTAAAGAGTTCTTTTAGTCAATGATTTGCACTGGTATAAAATGTTTGAGCATAATAATATATGTATGTTGGAACAGAATGTATATATATGTGGTATATAACTTATGTTTTCTTCCTCTGTATTATTATCTTGCAAATTATTTATTGTACATTGCTGCCCAATACAGTGTATGTATCTAAAATGTGTGAAATAACTTGTATATTTGCGCTGCGTGCAATAGTACTAATGTGGACGCTGACTGATTCATTGTATCCAAGAATTGTATTCACCCTACAGAAAAAGACATGATTCAATCTGAACATGTAAATTTTATATTGTATTTCTATAGATTCCATTTGTACAAATTTGATTTAAATATGTCTTAATTTCAAATGTTTTTCTGTGCTAAATTGCATTATACCTGTCCACCTAGAAAGTATGTCGTTTTTGTGCCGTCCTGTGAAGATTTGTATTCAAGTTATTTAATTTTATTTAATTTTCATTTTTTTAAGTTTGATGTGAATTAGTATTTGATGTTATATAGTAATGATGGTATCATTTTTTATAATAATAAAGTATTATGAAATATAAATGAAAATGTTTTGTGCGAACAATCCAGTATGAACATTTTGGAGAAGAGAAAGATGCTGCTGGAAAGCTGATGGTGATGATGACACAGAAGAGTGTTGGGGGGGGGGGGTGATGGTGATGATGACACAGAAGAGTGTTGGGGGGGGTGATGGTGATGATGATGATGATGACAATGACGTGGATATTGATGATTTGTAATCGTAATGGTGATGACAATGTTAGTGAGGTTGATGATTGGTGATGGTAATGATAACTATGAGTGTGATAATTGTGGAAGTGGTGGTGATGATAATATGGTAGTGGTGTCATTGATATTAATCATTTGTAATCGTGATGGTGGTGAAGATGTTAATGGTGATGGTGATGATGATGGTGATTACAATGATGGTGTCATGGTGATGATAATGACGATGATAATTGTGGGAGTGGTGATGATGATGGTGATTACGGTGAAGTTGATGACAAGGATAAGAATGATGGCGTTGGTGGTGGTGATATTAAATAATGTTGATGAAAGTGATTATGATAATGGTGATGATGACGACAATGATTTTAAAGACGGCGATAACGATGGTGGTGATGATGATTACGATGATGATGATGGTGATGAAGATAGCGATGATGATGGTTGTTATAATGATTATTATGAGGTGGATCGAAGACAGTGTTTGTGATGATTTTACCGAAGATGGTAATGAAATGTAAATGAATGATGATGAAAGAATGAGGATGTTGATGATGGTGATGATGATGACGATGATGATGATGATGATGATGATGATGATGATGATGATGATGATGATGATGATCGAATATGTTAATAATGGTAAAGGTTTGATGATGTTGTTAACGAAAGAATATTTGTACCATATGCGATGTTGAAAACGGGAAATTATTTGAAAACGATATAGAGAATACTTCTGGAATTTACTAAAGGTTCCAAGATTACACTTCATTTGACGTTTGTTGGGGGTGGGGAGGGGGGGTGGTGTTTTTCACCCTACCTTACATCCCTAATAGTTGCAAAACAGGATAAATCCAAGCAATTACCGAGATTTCCTCGACTAATTTGAAGGGATAAAAAAACGGCATTTCTTCTTCCGCTTCGTGCTTCATTGTCGCCTGAACTTCGCTGAAGGCGCACGACCTATGCCCGACATAATCCACGCACCGCTTGGTAAAAATCGTGAATTAAACATGAACCAAATTTTGATGCTAGTCCTTGTAAGTAGTATGGGTCACCAATGCAAGCGAATGATTATCTTTAATTCGCGCCCAACTTGGTATGTCACGTGCTCGAAGGCTGTCAATCATAGTTTTAGCCTGCTTTGCCGCCAAGAGTGGATGTGTAAATCTTGTCAAAAATCTTTTAAAAGCCTGAACGCGACAGAATCCTGTTATCTCAATAGTCTGTGGATTGGAGAAGGATTTGAGGGAGTACGGTAGTTACGTTCGACGGAAGGTAGACTTAATTCGGTTGGATATAATGAACGGGCGAGAAATAAGTACAACTTGGCGAATGAATAAAGAGTACAAGAGGACAAGGTCCAAAAAGAATACAGGGAAAAAATATTAGTAACAACATCAACAACTCAAAAGAAGCAAACGTCAGGGAAAGTGTTTATAGAATGGATAATGAAATTGACAAGGGATGAAGCAAAATGGCATTGAACGAATACATACTGTAAGTGTATGGTTTACATTAGCAGTAAAAAAAAATCATATTCTCGGAAGGCTATATCATGTACTAACATTTTCTTTTTAAACGATCAGGAAAGTGTTTATACAGACAACTCACATGTCTTTTAAGTCTAGTTGCACAGGATTTGCTTGTTGTTTTTAGTTATCATATTCCATTGTGAAATCATGCCATTGTCAAAGCAATATTTATTGCATTTTGTAATTTCATATTACTGGAACGCCACCTTGATATTAAATTGGTTTGAGTAGAAACAGAAAAATTAGACAAAAAATTCAGGGAAAGTTTGAGAAAAATAGGACAACAAAATAATAAGAAAGTTATGAATGTTTCAAAATCATGAAAATCATGGACAAATTGGCAATGCGGTCAAAAATTGAGATGATGATGAAGACTAATCGTTTTGATTTAGTGAGTTGTATAATATTCGATGTATTTTACTCTCAACCAACAACAAATACTTTAGCGCCATCTATTGGCCATTCAACATACATCCATTTCCATTTCTACAATATACCCCAACATCACTTCATCAATCTTTTCTGCTAACAAAATGAAGGTCCCATCGACTAAATTCTCTCCTCCTAACAAAAAAGGTTTGTCGACGAAAGTGATTCTCCTACTTGCATTATTTTAAAGGCGATGGTTTTGTATAAAGTTGAATGAAAAGTGAATATCCTTTACTCATGTACAATTTTAATCTTTAGCTAAGATACAATCAAGAACGGCTAACAAAAATATCCGTCAATTTGGATTCTATTTCTCTCTCTCTCTCTCTCTCTCTCTCTCTCTCTCTCTCTCTCTCTCTCTCTCTCTCTCTCGCTGTCTCTATCTCTCACCTATCCTTCTCTCTATCTCTCTTTTCTCTCTTTGTCTATCTCGTCCCCTCTTTCTTGCTTTATCAATATCTTAGCTCTCTCTACCCCGCACAACATTACGCAAACAAACAACAAAACCAACATGAACTTTAATTTTTTTTTTTAACTGTCCATAGCGAGCGTGGACACCCCTCCCTCTTATAGATAATAAACC